AAAGATAGGAAGCATTCAAACACCTTACAAGTGAAACCCTAAAAGAAAGGCTTGAAACATGCACAAACTTGAACAAGTTAACAACCAAATTTGGATCTATAATTCAACATCTACACACTTCAATATGTCTACAGCATGAAGCCACAAAATTTAATGGCTCAAAGAATGTACAAAAGCCCTTTACAAGACAAACTAGATCATGCATTAGTGTAAACATCACATAATGATACCCTAAATTATAAATTACCCTAAAAATAGCAAACATATCCAAAAAATTCCAAACAAAATCCTAGAATACCCTTAAGGTTTTAAGAACCAGGGGTCAAAAGAATGGGAACAAAGCCCAAACAAAACTATGCAAACAGAAGTGAAATCCACAGGGATACCCCAAATGCAAGGATGAATCGAGGGTCACTAAAACTACCCTAAAACCCTAACCAAAATGCCCCAAAGCAGAGGCAAAATTGTCCAAGAAAATCACTTAACATGCCATGAATATGAGAAAGAAAAACCAACCATTAACATGGAAAATTTACCAAGAAATAAAATCAAGAACATGGAGGTAACAATTTTAAACCAACAAGAATACCTCAAAAGTAAAAATCCATTTTTAATTGAAAAAGGACTTAAAAAATAAGTGAAAATTTTCTAAAATCAAATAACATCCTAAAATGTGTGAAACTATTTTTTGCAAGATTTTTAGGTCATTTGAGGTATTTTAATGGAATTAAAATCAAACAGACACTAAAATGGAAAAGAAAATAAAAGAAATTAAAAATGGAAAAAGAGGCGTGTGGAATAGCAATGAATCTTAGTTATTTTCCATTGGGCTTGGCATGCCGGGGGTTTGAATATGAACAAAAGCCCAATCCAAGGCAAAGCTGAGTGGAGCATGAAACGCTCTGTTTCATTTATCCACATGGCAGGTCAAATGAGTCAAAACGCTCAGAACTCAATCACAGTCGTCCATCCTATCTCAGTCAACTAGTCAGAGGATTACATGGCACGCCCACGTGTGCAAACGGACAAACTAACCAGACGGTGGTCCAAACATTTTCAGTCATCTTCTCCAATGGTTCGCCGGAGAAGAAGGATCAAGACTGAACCAAAACATGCAATTTTTTATACCATTTTAATCCTCTCAACACGTACATTAAGAATCCAATATTTGTTTTCATTTATCATCCATAAGTAAAGCAAACCGAAGCAAACAAGTTTCAAGGTTGAATTAGAAATCATCAAGAACATGAACCAAAGCAATCCAGAAATGGCCTACAAGTGTAGGGCTTCAATATGCACAAAAAATGGCAATGAATGGATGCTTAATCATGGAGAATTCTTGAAAGAGACTTTACCAAACAGAGCTCCTCCGTTGGGTCTTGAATTGAAGCTTAAACTCGTGGGAAACAATCCAGAAACCTTCAATGATCTTCAAGGAAGCTATTGGTAACATTCACTTGGCTTGAAATTGCTTGATTCTTGATTTCACGATCTCAACTTTTTCTTGAAAACTCTCAACTGTTTTTGCTCCAATTCTGATCAATTTCCACTTCTAAACATTTCTTATTCATCTAGAGATTATATACTTTGGATCTGAGAGAAAATGGAGGCCCAATTGTGGCCTGTTATGATGAATTGGAAAATCCAAATTTGAAGTTAAAAGCTTGAAAATGCGCGCGTGTTCTTGATCCAAAAGCTTTACACTCAGTTCAAACCACTTCCGTATGATGTAGAGTGATCCAATGGACAGAAATGCTCCCTTGAAATGATCCCATGGTGGATATTGGATATGTAACTTCATTGTGAAGTAACCATGGAAATTGACATGTTTTGCTCACCATGAACCAATTATGATTTAGGAATTGTGTTTAACATGTTAAAGTGACTCAAAAAATGCACAAACATGTCATGAAATGATTAAAAATGGATTCAATTCAAACCATGGCCTTTAATGCCATTTTTCATGAAATTTCTTCACCATTCTTCACATACAAGCCATACCCATGACAAGTGATGGTTCCATGGTGAAATTGAGTTCATTTGATGTAATTTTTATGTTTGAGAAAGTTCCATATGAAGTGCACAAAGTCATGAAAATGACCTATAACCAAAATGACCTATAATCAAAGTTTTCCAAAATACCCCTGCCTTGCAAACTTCATATCTTGAGCTTACAAGTCAGATGAAGGACTTCTAGGACTTTTTGGAAAGCTAAGATCATAAGGAAAAACTTTCATGTTTGGTTCAAAGTGAGGAGAAACATTCTTCTAGGTCAAAAATATCTTGGAAGTTGGTTGACTTTTGTTGACCAAAATCATATTCATCTGAGGACCCATAACTTGCCAGCATCATATCTTGAGTTCTAGAAACAAAATGGATGAGTTCTAGTACTCAAAAGAAATCTAAGACCATGCTCTAAAAGTCTCATGTTGGTGTCAAGATGAAATGAAGCTTGTATCTTGAGATAGGTGGTCTTGAAGTTAGGCACTAAACATGGAACTTTACATTGGCAAGCTTAGAAACCTTAGCTTAGCAACTTCTCACACTCTTGATTCTTAATGAATTGATCTTGAAATGATATATGAAATGTCTTAACGCAAAATTCCATGATCACAATGACTTGGAATTGAGTCTTAATCTCCTTCAAACTCATAGTTGACTTAGGGTTGACCAGATGAAAACCCTAGATGCAGCATTTTGACTGTGGCTTCTTGCACTTGGTATAATGACTTGGATAAGCTCCAAAATGACCCTCAAGACACTCATTGAGCTTCCCCAATATTCTCCATCCATAACAATGGACTCATGATCTTCTAATGACCTCCAATTGACCCCCAAGATAGGAGGCAAGCAAACATACAACCATATACTCTTTCAAATAGCTTTGAACCTCTCCTGATGATGATAAGCACTTGATCACTTGAATACAACCACTTGCTTAGGCTTATACCCCCTGGTAGCCTTCTCTTTCTATGCACATCCCTCTTGACCCCCCTGTAAATGATCAATGATATGCAAATGCTAATGCTATGAGAATGCAATGAAACATAAACTAGGTAAAGAAAAGGTTGGGAAAATTTTGGGATAAACCAGGTAAAGTAAACGTTACATAGTAATATAAATGATTCAAAGGAAATGTATTTCAACATTGGAATAATGCAGTGTATTGGTTGCCAAAGGATATGAGGTATATAGTATATATAATGCCTCAAACATATGTTAAAATACATAATATGTATTCTATAGTTTTTCCAAGTACATTGTAGCATGACTATGTAAAAGACGACAGGATTTCATTAGGTACAGAGGTTATGAGGGATTAGCAATATTTCAAAATGATTTCATGTGAATATATTATATGTCTCAAGCATATATATATATATATATATATATATATATATATATATATATATATATATATATATATATATATATATATATATATATATATATATATATATATATATATATATATATATATATATATATATATATATATATATATATATATATATATATATAATGGATCAAACATATGTCAAACTATCAAATATGTAGCATAGAACAACATAGAACATCATGCTATGAATGCAGCATAAAACAACAACTATTCACACATTAAGGCAAAATATTGTAGCATGACTATGTAAAAGACAACCTGCTCTCTTCAAGTAAAAAGGATATTAGGTATTAGCATCCATTTATGGGCATATATTGTATGTCTCAAGCATATATATATATATATATATATATATATATATATATATATATATATATATATATATATATATATATATATATATATATATATATATATATATATATATATATATATATATATATATATATATATATATATATATATATATATATATATATATATATATATATATATATATATATATATATATATATATATATATATATATATATATATATATATATATATATATATATATATATATATATATATATATATATATATATATATATATATATATATATATATATATATATATATATATATATATATATATATATATATATATATATATATAATGTATCAAACATATGTTAAAATACATAATATGTACATACCTTTTTCATGATTTCTCTTAAATCATGTGTCGACATTCCAACGTATTTGATACAATCATTGTCCCAAAACACAAAATAACCACGATTTCCTACATACTCGACCTCAATTTCGATCTTATACCTGATGAATTGGTTGCAATGCAATAAAATTAACAAACAGATGCATATAAGGTGCTAAGTTTATATATGTATCAAATAAGAATGATGTGCTTATTTGGTGATAGGTGGAGGTATGCTTTCACAGCAAGTGCATATGAATGGCTCCCCAGGTGACTTGTTAGTCCTATTACATGCTGAACATTGTTCATAGTACCAACGAAACTTAATTGAATTAAACCTCTTAGTTGTACCAGTAGTGTTGCAAAAATTTTGCTGTAAAGATGCATGACATGGAATGTATCACAACATTTATAAAGAAGCAAACAAAACAACTTACGATTGAGACTAAGAAGCTTACATTTTGTAGACTAATGATTTCCCCGATTGTTTTAACGTCATTGGTGTAGGAAAAATACTTGTCAACAAAAGACCCTTGAGATGCACAGGGCTGAGATAATGGTTGTGACATCACTTGGGAAGTCACTTGTCACCCAACCTAAAAACAAGTGAAGCATTATATAAAGTGCAGTAAATTAAAGGGACTGCATCATGACATGATTTAAAGGTTATGGCTTACTTAGACTGGAATGAAGTGACTTGAGGATGAACATAATCGAGAAGCATTTTTGTTCCAGGCCACGCATTGGAGATGTACAATTTTCTGGTTGCTGGGAAAAAACATTTTCATATCAATAATTATTACATGAACAAATTAGAGTGGCATATCAGTAGCAAGCATTACCTGAACTTTGTTAGCACATGGCATGAGTAATGACGATAATAGTTGGGCTATGTGCAGTTTTCTAATTTGTGTAGGCCATAAACTGAGTGGCATATGCTTCCCACAGAGTCAGATCAATTTCAGAACCACTAATAACAAACAAAGAGAAGTAGTTAATAGACATCAATAAAAAAAAAAGAGATAAATAAGGCATTATATGATATATACATTTCATCGGATATGATAAGGTTGACGCAAGCCTTCTTTCCGCCTCCCACAACTTGAGTCTTGACAACTTCGTGGAGCACGCCTATCACATCTTAATGAAAGAAAGGCCAAATAGTCAGGATAATGATTTTCAATAACATGTCATCATGCAGGTAATGTGAGGAAAAAATAATTGCAAATACCATATAAGCGATTTACTTGAAAATCTCCGTGTAAGAAATCAACAATGGGTTTGAAACAAAATTGGTAAGCAGGTGTTTCTGGCATGTCAACCATAGTTACAGTGGTACAACCATTGAAAACAAGCTTCAACAGGTTGTCACATACTTTCAATGCAAGATCGTTGTTTAACGGGTCACCATTATAAACCATGACAGTTTGATGTTCTCGTAGTCTCTACTTCCATAAATCAAAATCCTTATTGCGAGTGACGACGTGTATTTTGTCACACTATGAATGAAATGAAGTGTTAGGACACCTTGTAAGTTTAATAATAGTAACATGACATATTAAGATTCTATAACAATAAACGTATACCTTACTATCTTGGAGAACACCTTCAAAGTGTTGTTGTCCGTTACGGTCCTTCACGATCCACAAATCAACGACACGAGTTGCGAGCTTTCATACGTTGTTACCTATCTTCAAATCAGCAATCATAATGGGTGCCCTAGACATATTAATCTAAAAAGTACCAACAACACAAAAAAAAAATAGTAACCACACCAACCTTTTTCATAGTTAAATAACATGCTTTCTAACAATAGCACTTGAACCCGACTGCCTTTAAACATGAAAAATGCTGAACATAAAACAACAGGATTTCAAAAAAGCATCTCAAAAACATATGTTGAAACGGGTGTATTCACGAGGATTTGAACAAAAAATAGTCTTCACTAAACAATTAGCAAAATGATTTCAAAGTCCTACAAAATATAAATATGAATAGAAAGAAGGGAAAACCGAAACTTTCTATTTCCTTCATGCATAATGAAGAACAATAAGCAAAAATCTATAACCAACTGTTACATTGGCGAAAAACCATGAATGAACAATGGAAAAATCAGTCGCAATGGAAAAACAAAATTTGTGGAACGTTGAACGACAACATATGCGGGGAAGTGGAAAAGAAGTTGTCGAATGATGAACCTTGTTGATTGTATGATTGTGTTGCGAGAAAGACCAGAGGTGCAGGGTGAAAGACGAGAGGAAGCAGGGAAACCTTGTTGATTATATGTTTGTATTGTAATGACGTGAGGTATCATTGAAAAGAGTGGGAAAACCTTTTTAACATATTGATATTTAATTAGTTCAATAGGTGAAGGACAGGTGGATGTGAAGAATTTTCAGCCATGTAAAAGAATAGAATATGTTTATTACATTGATAACCTTGAGTTAGGCATATTTGTTTTAGGTGTGAAGGGTATAAATGGAAGAATGCTGACAATGAATAGTAATGGGTAGGTAGTTGAGTCGACATTTTCTTTGTTTGGCCTACATCCCCCGATATCATACCATCTGCTTCAAGTATTGACGTCACACCAGCTACTCTCTTGATGATTGTGTCTCATTCTATTTCAACAAGATTTTGACTTTTGAAGTTTTCCCGTACTTCCATATGATGAACACCTTTAGGAGAGGGAAATACTTTGTCAGACTTTTACTTTTCCATCACAAATACCTAGTGACTTGTCTGCTCGTCTGAAAAGATGATTATGGTCTTTTCCATACTTTCATCATTTTTTACTTTCCTCTCGCTATCAACATCTTCTCTATCTTCTAATTGCTTCCATTCACCTTTCTTATCATCTGAACTCATCCAAGAGTCAACACTCCCTTCATTCATCTTTTCTTGCGTCGACATTAAAATTCTCATGGGACCATGAGAGTCTTTAACTACTTTTATTCTAAAAAAATCATCATTTATTTAGATATTGTACGTTTCATTGAGGACCATGATATACTTCGTTCTGCCTAGTATTCTTACTACATCCATTTTCGTTTATTTGGTTGTTTCGTCACCAGAGCAGACATAAACTTCGACCGATATTGACATAAAATCAAACACCTTTGGTGACCATGCATGGCAAGGGAATCCATAACATCTCAATCAAGTTAATTTTTTGTTATCAACATCTTGAGGGCTCCATGGTCGAATCTCAAAGAACTGTTACTTCATCTAATCCCTTGCTTCTTCAACTAGGTTTTTAGCTCCCATCCTCCCTTTCCTCTAACAGACGTAGATTATTCCCAAACAATGTTCACTACAAGAAATATTGCAGTTTCCCAAGTGATATTCACGTCACTAACATAAAAACCACTTCACTAAAAAAATTTGCGACGTGGGTTAAACACGTTGGAAATGCAATGGTGGGAACTTTTTCCCACGTAGTAAACACGTCACAAAGTTGTGACATAGTAACCACGTCGCAAACAACAAAATAAAGAAGAAATGTTCCCACGTGAAAACCAAGTCACTAATTACCCATGTGATATCCACGTCACAAAGTTGTGACCTTGTTTTCACGTGGGAAACCACATTGAATTAATATTCTTCCCATGTGATTCCCACGTCACTAATTAGTGACATGGGATCCACTTCACTATTAAATTTAATTATAAAAATAAATAAATAATATTAACTGAAAGCTACTATAAAATTAAAATAAAAATTAAATATTAAATATAAATTGAAAATATTCCATACTGCACAATTGTACTATATATCATTATATATCATTTTAATAAAATATTTAATTTAAATATATTTTTTCTATTTTGACACCAACCTAATAAAATATGTTCACTAAAATAATATATATTCATTATTTTTAAAATATAATATATATTCATTATTTATAATATAAATTCTTTATTTTTAAAGTATAATATATTCATTAAAGTATAATATATATTCATTATTTTTAAAGTATAATATAAATTCACTAAAATAATATATTATACTAATATTAATAACATATTTAAAGTATAATATATATTCACTAATATGTATAATTGATTTTAAAAAACTGTTTTATTATATTCATTAATTTAATAATATATTATATATTAAAAAACTGTTTTATTATTTAAAAAACTGTTTTATTATATTCATTAATTTAATAATATATTATGTTTACTAAAATAATATATATTAAAAAACTGTTTTATTAATATATTATAATTTAATAATATATTATGTTTACTAAAATAATATATATTAAAAAGCTGTTTTATTATATTCATTAATTTAATAATATATTATGTTTACTAAAATAATATATATTAAAAAACTGTTTTATTATTTAAAAAACTGTTTTATTAATATATTATAATTTAATAATATATTATGTTTACTAAAATAATATATATTAAAAAACTGTTTTATTATTTAAAAAACTGTTTTATTAATATATTATAATTTAATAATATATTATGTTTACTAAAATAATATATATTAAAAAACTGTTTTATTATATTCATTATATATTTAAAAAACTGTTTTATTATATTCATTATATATTTTAAACTGTTTTTTTATATTCATAATATATATTCACTATATATTTAAAAAACTGTTTTATTAAAATAATATATATTATGTTTACTAAATTATAATAACTATTTAATAATATATATTATTCTATATAATAGGTATAATTGATTTACTAAAAATCACACAACGTATTATTTAATTAAAAATCTGTTTAAAAATCACACAACATAATATAAATCTGTTTTTTTAATTTGTTTCAAATAAATAATCTATTTTTTTAATTAAAAATCACATAACATATTATTTTTATTTTTGCTTTCTAAAATTTAAAACAACAACAAACCCAATATACAATACATTATATCACAATATTTCTAAAATCTAAAATTTTTTAAACTAACTATCAAAGTTTTCAACAACAACAATACAATACATAATAAATATAAACAAATTAAAATTCATAAATACCTCTAATTAAGCTTCCAATATAGAGGACTTCTTATAAAATTGTTAGATCTGAAGAAAAAAAAATTAACAGTTAATAATAAAAAAATATAAAATAAACTATAACATGAAACAATCACAAAACCAACTAATATATCACCTTAAATTTTTTGCAAATGAAACTTTGTTGAGGTAACAGCACCAGCACAGCAGCTGAAGAGAAAAACAAAGGGGGAAGAAGAAGGAGATGTGGGAGTTTTGTAAGAGACGAGGACTTGAAGAAATTCTGAGATTTGGTTTATATAAGGGAGGTTGCGACGTGGCATTAGCATCAGAAAGTTGCGACGTGCAGGCCAGGTGGGTAGTTTGCGACGTGGCAAACCCTTCAGAAATTAGCGACGTGAAATGAAGGTCGCAACTTCATTTTCATTAATTGCCAACTTATCTAATAAAGCTTGCGACGTGGCATTTACATCAGAAACTTGCGAAGTGAATTTAAAGACGGAACATCCCCCAATATTAAATTATTACCGTTGGTCCACTAAATGCCAACGCAACGGGAAGATAATTATTGATGTAAGTGGGTTGCGAAGTGAAAATCATCTGAGTATTTTGTGACCTTTTTGAATTTTAACTTCCCAAGTGGTTAACATGCCACAACAGAATTTGTGGAAAATTCAAATTTCCCTCTCCCTTAAAATTCCAAATTTTCGTTCCAGAGTTTGGCATAGCAAAGTTTATTAATAAAAAATGTTAGTGAGGTGGTTATCACTTGGCAACACAATTTTTTACCCACGTGTTTACCACATCACTAATTCACTAGGGAAATACAACATTTTCTTGTAGTGGTTGTTTTTATTGAGAAATACCCCTCCATATGAAACTCCTCCTAAATATTATATGTCATTCTTGGACTCTCAACAACTCTAACATAAACATTTTGAAATCTTATCATTTCCTCTTCCTCAACTTTATACTCTAGATGAGTGAAAGCGATATTTTTCTACTTAGATTGTATGTGAATGAGTTTTCTTTTGTTTTGGTTGTTTCTCACTTGCTTGTGCATAAGTTTTCCTCTCTTCCCGTTTCTTTTTTTTTTTATGCATGTATTCTTGAGGTTGCTCTGTCTTGGTTAATGTATTCTGAGCACCAAAAGTTAAAAAATAATAAAAGTTATTAGTTATGAAAAAGAACAAATAAAATACATATTTTTTAATTTGATGTAAAAATATGAGACTATTAATTTCACGCTCACATTACAATGCATAAACTTGCACCCAAATATAATAATCATTTAACACGTTAACCAACTCAAAATTAGGAATTTCCAAAACCAAAATCAAAAACCAAAAATAAAAACGAACAAACTTGTGACGAAGAGTAGTAGTAAGCGAGTGTAACTGATTAACTAACTAACAAACTAAGTAGAAAACCGTTAGAAAGCCGTTATTATTCAGCTGAGTTAGTTATTTTCATTCCAAAGCTCTATTGAGATCTATATATAATATAGATAATAGATGCATTCACTAATCTGCTCGTATAACTGTTTCGTGTAATATTCCATCCTTTGAAGAAGCATCAAGTTCTGTTGAGAGTTGAAACTTAACCATGGAGGATCCCGAAGATGATGAAGAAAGTCAACAAAATCCAGGGGGTGATGGAAATGGAGGAGGTGCTGGTGGAGGAGAAGGTGGAGGAGGAGGAGGTGGTGGTGGTGGTGGTGGTGGTGGTGGAGGAGGTGGTGGTGGTGGAGGAGGAGGAGGAGGAGGTGGTGGTGGTGGTGGTGGAGGAGATGGTGGAGGAGATGGTGGAGGAGATGGTGGAGATGATGGTGGAGGAGATGGTGGAGGAGGAGGTGGAGGATCAGGGCATTTAAAATTTTTTTTGAAAACCTTCGGCTGTACGTTTGGAGTAACTGCATTTATTCTTGGTGCGGCATATACGGTAACAATTTCTTCTCCTTCTTTCTTGATATATAGTTGTATATATTGCTTTCAATTTTCAACTTTCACCTTTACTGTTTCTTAATTATATTATCAAAATATATAATCATTTATGTATGGGAAGAACATAAATCTTTAACTGAAATCTCCATTTATGGATTCTTCTCTTTCTTTCTTGATACTTGTATATATTTCTTTCAAATTTCAACTTTCACATTTACTGTTTCTTAATTACTATACAATGGAAAGTATGTAATCATTCGTTCATGTTTCAACAGCTAAATTTCATTGACAATATGGTGTTCCCGCCGAGTCTTCCTCAGTCACCGATGCCGCCGCCGAGTCTTCCTCAGTCACCGATGCCGCCGCCGAATCCTTGAATCCCACAAGTTGTAGTGGGGGAATCCATATCCGTTGAGGCAAATGAAGACAAACAAATTGTTCCCTTTTTTTTCTTTCTTCCAGTAGTCACGTGACATATTGTGTAGTAGAATTTTCCTAGTTTGTAATGGTGTGTAATATGCACAAACTTCTTTACCTAGTTTGTTTACGTACAGCTTCAAAAACAGTGATGATGTACTTTTTGTTCATAAATAATGTCATTCATATTCATGTATTTCCTTCTAAATAATATCTCTCTTCGATTCATATACTTTGTATATTCTGCTAGTTATATATTTTGATGTGTCTCTTCTTTCTATCAAAGATTTTATGCAACTTTGTTGGATTTATGAATAAAAATGATTTTTGTATTGATAAGGTGTTGCTGCTTAATTTTAAGCAATGTTTAATCATTTGTCCAGGGCCTTGATGTTAACTATGTCCATAACTATGAGATCTAAGAATGAGGCAAAGTTTACTTGCGATTTGCTGTACCTGTTTGCGTGTAAAGTCTATTGAGTTGAAGTTAGGGACTACATATCTAGTCTTCATATTCTATGTCGGACTGATGTATATGTGATAGCATAGCACTAATGAAATGTTTACTGTATCTAATATTATAGCACAAAATATGAATATAAAAAATGAAGACATCATTGGTATAGAACCCTAGCTAGTTAGAGACGAGAAGTGTATGAAGAGTGAGCTTAATTTCTAAAGAAGTCTCATCAAGTGATGTGAGGTTGAGGTATGAAAGATAACAATTTTATGCAAAGCTATGCAGTGACTTGTAGTTTTCTTCGTTACCTATGGAAAACATTAACTAAGCATATGACAATTCAAGATTTCTTACACAAACTACCATACTTTTCCAATTTGTTTTACTAAAATACCACTTATATAAACTATTGTGTTTTCAAATAAATTTTTTTAACTCACCCAATGCTTTGGTGTCACCGTTAAAAAGGTAGGAAAATGTTCTTTCTATCATTGATGGATGGTGGTGTCTTTCACCTCTTTAAAAATTTAAAAATACTGTTTTGAATAGTGTCTTTCACATTTTTGAAAATCCAAAAATGCTTCTTATATGTGCAGAAATTCATCTTCAGACACACAAAATCACACTAAATTTTATTATATTTTAATATATTTAATTGTTTTTTAAATATTAAAAATTATTTTGATGATTTAAAGTATTAAAACTTATATAATAGATATTATAATTTAATAAATGTTTTAAAAAATAATTTAAAAAACAAATAAATTAATTTAAACAGGTCGATTTGACGTGTCTGCTACATTCGAACATTTTCTACGCATATGGCCAATTTCTTGACAAATCTCACATCTTCTCTTTTCTTTCTCAAGATCGTCCATTTCGGTTCTAATTCTTGTACTATTTGGACACCCTTTCTTATTCCTTCGCATTGTCTCGTCATGGCAAAGAGTAAATCCTTCATATGTTGGCCAATTTTCGTGGTGTGAAATTTTAAGGAAGCTTTCGCTGTAGACTTTGAATACACACAGAATCTTGAAAACATCTGGTATGTGCATGTTGTGGTCCTGCCGTATACTAGCACATGTTTCGATTACATGGGAGTAAGGTAAATGAAATGCTTGAAACCTCTCACAATCGCACCATCCCCTCCTGAGATCAACGCTAAAGGTACCTAATGGTCGGCCATCGTGTTGATTAATCCTTTCGCTAACCATAAAATAGAATCTCTCGCGATCAAACTGGATGACATTATGGCTGCTAGACTTACTCGCTTCGTCGACCATTCCCTTATTACAATTATCCGTGAAAGTTTGACCGGATGCCAACAGTTTTGTTCAATCGTGTCCTAGTTTTCCAAACGACGATCCTAGACGATAGAATGTTGACTTAACTAATGCAGTAATAGGAATGTTTCGGGTAGCCTTAAGTACCGAGTTCATAGCTTTGGCCAAATTTGTTGTCATGTGTCCCCACCGCTGTCCTCTGTCAAACGCCCTCGACCACTTCTCTTTGGGAATACTGTCTATCCACTCCAAAGATGCTCTATTTGTTCTTCGTATTTTGCTCCGGTAGTAGTTAAATGTTGTCTTCGTTAATGTATATCCTGTAGGAAAAATGTAAAGTAAAAATGTACAGTAAAACATATAAAAACCAATTAGTCAATAAATATTTATTGTAACATTAATACGTTAAGATGTAGGCATGCCCATGTTGACAACTGTTTTCCGTAGTTCTTTGTCTCTGAACTCACACATGAAGTTTTACGCAATGTGTCTGATACAGTAAACATGTGAAGATGGAGGATACTGCCACCCATTTTCAAGATCATCGTAAGTATTCTTGATTGATGGATTTCGGTCGGATATGAGACACAGATTGGCCTAGGGGGTCAGATTCATTCTCAAATTCCTGAGAAAGAAACTCCAACCATCCTTTGTCTCACCTTCAACCAATGTGAATTCTATAGGAAAAATGTTATCATTTCTATCTTGTGTCACAGCTATCAACAAAGCCCCTTTGTACTTGTCGTACAACCATGTTCTGTCAATTTGCACAATAGGGTTGCAGTAAGTAAAACCACGGATATACGGTTCAAATACCCAAAAAAGTTGGTGAAATTTTCTAACTTTTCCAATTTTTTTTTACTAAAGTACCACACTTTTTACGATATATATACTAAACTATTGTGTTTTCAAATAAATTTTTTTAACTCACCCAATGCTTTGGTGTCACCATTAAAAAGTTAGAAAAATGTTATTTCTAGCATTGATGGATGGTGGTGTCTTTCACCTCTTTAAAAATTTGAAAATGCTCTTTTTAATCGTGCCTTTCACTTTTTTGAAAATCCAAAAATACTCCTCATATGTCTGGAAATTCATCTTCAGACACACACAAAATCACATTAATCTTCAACTTTTTTAGACTCACCCTATTTTGCAAAAAAAAATATGGGCCAAAGATACATCTCCGTATCATATTCGGGTGTATCCAAAGATTCATCTCCGAAATAACCCTTGTACTCAATTATTGTATTTTAATTCACCGACCTAGTTAAATTAGTGACTCAGTGATATTTCTAGAGATGCATATCTTTAAATGTCCAACGGAAAATTAGATAAAACACCATCTTCCATGATCTTCTCCTCCATACTCGAACAACACTCTATTTTCAAAATCCTTAAAAAGTTTCTTTCTCTGAATCACCTATTCAACACCAAAACATCATTTTTGTATTTCATCAAATCAAAGGGAGCATAACAAGATGGAATTGTAGGTAAAGTTCATTCATTTCATCCCTCATTCCTTGCATTAACACTAAACAAATAACGCTTTTCATGATGAAACTTTCATCTCGAATAACAGAAAACTGAGGTATAAAGCCAATAAGCGCTAGTTTTTATCATTTATAAAAACAAAACAAAAACCATACATTCCCTTGATTTTTCATAAAACCGAGTTGAAAAAACAACTTTGTACAAACTTCGATTCCCAACTATCACAGTTTATGATTTTATTTGTTTATAAGCGTAAACAAAATATTCTAACCCTTCGGTTTTCTATTTAACCGAGGCATAAAATAATAAGATTTTAGTATAAAAACACTCGTTAAATAGATTTTACTCTAATCCTTACTAATATGAAGTCGTCCCAAACTATTTTTTCTATCTTGAACAAAATATTTTTTCTGCCCTTTCAATCTCTCTCACATAATGGTGTTGATGTTGTCATTGTTGTATTTTTGGAATAACCCTCAATTAAAAAAAGGAGTTCAACCTTTGAAGAGTACTCGGTTGATAGATTGCAAGTGCAGAAAATCATTCTTGCTTCAAGTTACACAAAGAATGGAGTTTAACCAACAAAGAAAAGAACTTAACCAACAAGACAGGGAGCTTAACCTTTGAACAAAGAAGGGAATACAACTTAATCTAGATATCAGTGAGATATTTAGTAAAAAAAGCAAATATTTGTTGTACAAATTTATTTAAATATTATGTGTAAACAACATAATTTAAAAAATATATATATTCACCTTGGTTTTCATCATCACTGAGGTGATAGTTAAAAGGAGAAGATAAAAAATATTGGTTTTATAATAAAACCGATGTGTTTAATTATCTTATTTGACTATAAAACACTCATTAAACAGATTTTACCCTAAGACTAACTTATATGTAGTCGTCCCAAAGAGAGGAAATATTCACCACCGTCCATTTGATCATGAGTTGTTACTACAGACCTCTGGGATGAATTGCAAGTGCATAAAATAAAAATTCTCATTGGGAAACAGATCTCTAGCATCTTGCATTATACATGGACATGAAAAATAAAAATTTCATTGGTAAACAGATTTTACAATGTATTTTTAATATTCTATGTAAATAATGTAATTTTAAAAATAGGCTTATTGACCTCGATTTTCTTCGTGACCGAGGAGATAGTTAAGCGTGTTTTTACTATATTCAACACCCTTAAACAAGTTTGTCGTTCATTTTATTTTTACCAATGCTCAATGATCTGACATTAGTGATATGTGTGAAACCTAAGGGACATCCATTATAAAAGTATACTGAACATTGAAAATCTAACATATATGGAACATGAAGCGCTTGAAACATAAAGACATTTGAAAAAGTTCTCTAAGATGGATTGCAATAGCAGAAAACTACTTGGGTTTAACGTTTGTTTTCTTAAATATTTATTTGAGCATAAAATTATATATTTGAATATTGATTTTATTTATATAACCCTTATTTTGTTTTGCTTTAAATCAAATGCATGCAAAGTCTTGGAGAATATATGTGCACCAACATTTGATCTTCACCCACCTTGGGAATCTGATTTTTTTCTAGATCTATAGAGAATTTGATTTTTATTTTAATATTTTGTGTAAACAATGAAATATTCTGGGCAAACAATGTAATATTCTGGGTAAATAATGTAACATTCTGAGTAAACCATATAACAATTTTCTTTTAAAAAAATAAAATTATCTTACCCATCAGTTTTATTTGTAAACTGAAAGGTAAGATAAGCTAATTTTGAAAATAATAAAAGTGCAGTTGTTAGGGCTCGAAACCATGTCCATATAAGTTTACCTCTCAGTTTTATTTCCACTGAGGTGATAAGTGGCGAGTTTTTATGTTGTCCTTCATTACCTCGCTTCTTTAGCCGAGGTATTATGCATTTCGCGCCCGAGGTAAAAAAATGCTTTTTTGCAGTTGTGTAATATTTTTTTTTGAGCTGAAAATGAATGTTGAGCCCATATATGAATATCTGGACAAAATTAGGTGTAGTTTGGATGTGCATCTCCAGATTATCTGGTTAGTTTGATTTTTAATAGTGTTTTTTTGTTATTGGTTGTATTAGATATGCTGCATCCGAATATGTTCCCCAAAGCTACTATGAGTGTGGATGTTAAGCCAGATGAAGTGAAGCATGATTTTAAACTAGATGAAGTGAATGATGATACTCAATCAGATGAAGCGAATGATGATGTTAAAATGGGTGTTTGAACGGTTATGGTCAAGGTAGATGTTCGTGCATAATTTACAAATAAATAAGTATTTGTAGTTCGTGAATATATGCTACAGTGGATCCGTAGGGAATTTGAAAAATGGGGTTTGCCATTTTAATTAGAAGGCCTGACAATGGTTCTAATAGAAGACAAACATTTGTAACAATGATATGTGAGTGTGAGTTAATTGAGTGGATACCGTATGACAGATAAGAAAGAAATTTAATGTGATTTTTGATATACATAATCATGCACTAATTGAGAAGGTAGTCGTTCATCCCATTGTATGTTACCTTGTTCTAAAGGAGATGGATCTTGTTTCGAACATGACACTAAACATGGAGCACCTAAAAATATACTCACATATTTTAAACTGAAAGACCTCTTAATGTTTCAAATATCAAGCGAATATACAATGTGTATGCTCGATACAACAAGGCGGTAAGAGGACCAAGATATGAGATGCAACATCTATTGAAGCTTTTGGAAGATGACGACTATGTTTTGAGGTACATAGTTTGTGAGGATAAAGTCACTGTTTGAGATATATTTTAGAGTCATCCTAAATCCATCAAGTTGTTCAACACATTTCCCTTCATGCTCATAATTGAATAAACATACAAAATAAACAAGTATAGACTTATTCAGTTAGTTTTACATTTTTGGAATCCAAAAAAGAGGACAATGTTACACGGGCTTTGGAAATGTGCAAGACTATGTTCAATGACCAAGAAAACATGCCACAAGTCATAATCATCGATCATGACACCACGCTGATGAATTCAGTTGCAACGGTGTTTCCTACATCACTTGTATTACTTTGTGAGTATCACATAAGCAAAAATGTAAGAAGTCGAGTAAAAATTGTGGTTGGCATAAAACAAGTCAAACGTGTGGATGGAAAAAATTTCAAACCTGGTTTGGTGGTGGAAAATATAATGAATTCATGAAATTCTATAATAATTTCTCCCATAGAATAATTATATGTCGAATTTTTTCTACATTTCAAGAGTGTGTGTGCGATATATCTAGATTTTCTGAAATATGTTAAGGGCACTATTTTAGATCATGTTAAAGAGAAGATTGTGTATGCATGGACCGATCATGTTCAAAACTTTGGCAATACAACAACTAACAAAGTTGAATTTACACATGCTAGACTGAAGAATTGGTTGGGAAATAGTAAACGTGATTTTTGTTGAGATAGGGACGCCGTGAACCAAATTCTCTGAAACCAACATAATGAAATACAAATATCTTTTGGTTGGAACATTATTGTGTTAGAACACTGATTCAAAGACAACATCCTTTATTCATAGTTGGTTGGTAATGTATCTCAGGCATCATTGAATTATATTTTTTACGAAGACAGGTTCATATAGCTCAAAGTGTGGATGTACACCAAGAAAGACTTACGGTAATCCATGTGTTTGTTTAATTTCAAAGTTTTTATCTATGTTATGTTTAGTTTAATGTTAATTTATGTTGTTTTTCACTCTGCCATTGTTTCTTCCTATTCTTGTTTTGAACTGACAAAGCATATTCCGAAGATGTATATCCGGAAAGCTCACATGCTAATGAACTAAAGGGGGTTATGGAGATGCATGTCCGAAGTAACATTTTGTGCATACGGAGATGCATCTTCAAACTAAATTTTAACAGAATAAGAATTTCTCACCATTTTCATCTTAGTTG